ATGTCAAGTCTGCCTTCCTCAATGGAAAACTTTAAGAGAAAGTATATGTGCAGCAGCCCCCTGCGTTCGAAAATCCAAAGCATCCAGACTATGTTTATTTTATGGACAAAGCTCTATATGGGTTGAAGCAAGCACACAGGGCCTGGTATGATACACTAGATATCTTTCTCATTGCCAATGGATTCGAAAAAGGTACCATCGATACAACCCGCTTTCTCAAGAAGCACAAAGGTGATATTTTGCTTGTGCAAATATATGTGGACGACATCATATTTGGTTCTACCAATGCAAAATTTTGCGAAAAATTCTCAGAGCTGATGAAAAGCAAATTTGAGATTAGTATGATGGGAGAACTCAGTTTCTTCCTTGGTCTTCAAATAAAACAAACTTTAGAAGGAATCTTCATCAATCAGTCCAAATATGTGACTAACCTTCTAAAGAAGTACTCTCTCTCAAATTCATCATCGATGAGAACACCTATGGCTAGGGGAGCTAAGTTATTTGTTGATCCATCAGGCAAATCTGTGGATGTCACAACATACAGAGGCATGATTGGATCACTCCTGTACCTAACAGCTAGTAGACCAAATATTATGTTTGCTACATGTCTCTATACAATGTATCAAGCTAATCCTAAGGAATCTCATATCTCTACGGTCAAGAGGATCTTTAGATACCTCAAGGGAACTCCTTCATTGGGTCTCTAGTATCCAAAGAACTCTGGCTTTGATCTAATAGCCTATATAGATGCAGATCATGCAGGTTGCAAGCTTGATAGAAAGAGTACGTTTGGAAGCTGTCAACTCTTGGGGGACAAGCTGGTGAGTTGGAGATCCAAAAAACAGAATTGTGTTTCCACTTCTACAACAGAAGCAGAATATGATGCTGTTGCTAGTTTTTGTTCACAAGTCATGTGGATTAAGATCCAACTGAAGGATTATGGATTTCAATATGAAAAGATTCCTATCCTTTATGACTCCAAGAGTGCCATAGCTATCTCTGCAAATCTTGTGCAACATTCCAAGACAAAGCATATCGATGTCAGGTACCATTTTCTCAAAGATCATGTAGAAAAGGGAACAATAGAAATGTATTTTGTTCCTACAGAGATTCAACTTGCTGACATTTTTACAAAAGCATTCGATGAAAAACAATTTCTATTTCTTGTCAGCAAGATGGGTATGTTGAATCTCACCACTTAGAGGTAAATTATCGTTTCAAACCAATTAATATCTTTTGGTTATGCCTAAAAGTGATATATTATAATGGCCCTCATAACCAAGTACTCTAAACTAGAGTTTCTGGTTCTAAAGACCACAGCCTCTGGCCAATTAGAAATATTTGTTTATATTTGGCCAAAATTCATTCCCTTTGGAACTAGAGCCCCTCTGGTGCAACGAAAATACTTGGGGTTTTCTCTAAACATCCCCTTTCCAAACCAGAGCCTCTCGTTCTATAAACCAGAGTCTCTGGAATCCAAGTTCTTGTGACCAGAGCCCCTCTGGTCCAACTTGGTTCCTCCACTCATTCGTTTTCCCATTCATTTAACTTTAAGTCATTTGTCTCTTTGCAAATATAGCCTCTGGTTCCAAAGACCAGAGCTTCTACTTTACAAGTTCATTGTGACCAGAGCCCCTCTGGTCCACCTTGGTCTTCATAAGTTATCTTTTTCACTACATTTCCCATGCATATCATTCCATCCATTCAACCAGAGCCTCTTGTTCTAAAGACCAGAGCTTCTAGATTTTAAGTCTTTGGAACCAGAGACCCTCTGGTTCAATAGACCCATCATGTCCACCATCATTCATACTCATTTGCACTATCATTCACAACCAGAGCCTCTGGTTGTATAGACCAGAGATTTTGGTCATCTCATTCACCTCTCTTATTAGTTCTAGGGGGAATTTTTACTCATTGCACATCCCCTTACATCATTTGAGGGGGAGTCATGTATCTCATTTTCATCTTTAAGGATCCAAATTGAGCCAAACATCCCTCTGGTTGTTCATCTCCATTCAACCAGAGACCCTCTGGTTCGATACCTTGGTTCTTTAATCTTGCATTTTCCCATCCAGAGCCTCTGGTTCGTCTATCCAGAGCCTATGGATTGCAAAAATGCTATATTAATGAAGTATTTCATCCCTTGCATTCAACCAGAGACCCTCTTGTCCTTCATAAAGGGTATGTCTTACATCTAAGGGTTTAAAATGCTTATCCATAGCCTCTGGTTCGTCTATCCAGAGCTTTTGTTTCATAAAACCAAACATTGAATGATGAAATTGTCCATGACTCATAACCAGAGACCCTCTGGTTCCCCAACACCATTATCATGTCCAACCAAAGCCTCTCTAGTTCACTGACAAATCACTTGTTCTCATAAAACCCATATGTTATTGAAAACAATTTTCAAAATATTCAAATAACGGTGGAACTTTAAATTTTAAATTTTTTAGATATCCTTGAGGTTTATCCATAAGAGTAATTATTTATAAAACATATTCTAAATAACCCATACGCCTTTTACCTCCACAAGCGCCTGACAACTTGCAATAGTTGTTCCCTAGAAACCCTTCAATTTCACTCAACCCAACCCCATATGACACGTGTCCCTATCCACCTATGCCATTATGATCGTGAGCAGAATTTACGGCTCACGATCACAACCAACCCCATCTTTTCACCAAACGTCTTCCAAAACCATGATTACCTTTTATTATTTAAATAATTTTTTAACCCAACCCTTCCCCTCCCAACCCACTATAAATAACCATCGTCCCCATCATTTCACTCTTTACGCACACATTAACTCTCAAAAACCTTCAAAGCAAAGACGAACATGCAACTCTCAAGAACCTTCAAAACAAAAATGGTGTCATCCGCTTCCCACGAGTCAAACAACAACGACAGTCATGTCCAGTCAACCGGCGCCGACAGCCGTGCCATAGTCTTCCTCCCCATCAAGCCAAACATTCACTCACTCGACCTCCGCCAACAACTTTTTGAGGACAGGTTTGCCATCCTCATAGAATTCTTCCAAAACTGCATTCTACAACCGGCCCTCACCCTCTCCGACAACGAGGTGCCGGTCAAATACGTCCAACAGTATTGGCCAACCTACGAGTTCTACCTGGAGAACCGTGGGATAATGGGAGACATCGATGTCCCAAATGACATGGTGTGCTCCATCAAGATTTCCCGTGCCAAAATCTCAAAGGTGTTGTTTATCTCAACAAGACAGGAGCTTGGGATCGTCCACTATGCCGAACCGCCAACTAGTTCTGACATCTTACGGTTCATTAAGATGTTGGGATACAACAGGGATTTGCGCAACGCCTCAGACTTCAAGAGGCAATTTTTGCCCCCAATGTGGAACATGTTCTTCTCCATCCTTAACCACGCCTTCACTTGCAAGTTAGAAAGTATGGACCAGGGGAACATCAACATCATGACCATCATGTATGGTCTATTCTTCAACCTTGCCATGGACTATGCCTTGTTGATCTACAACGAGATTCTTGCAACGGTCGTCAAGAAGAAGAAGTTAGTGGCCGCAAGAAAGCAACTTTGATCGGTGCTCTTCCAGTGTTTCCTTGCGCTTTTCATAAGGGACGCGATGAAGATGCACAACTTGCCAAGAGATGAGCCATTCACTCCACAGTACATCATGAATGGCCATCGCCCAACCATCTCCAAGGATGGTTACCCAGTAGAGAAGCCACTATCTAGGGCAATGCTCAGTGTGATACCTGCCACCACTGCCTCTATAGGGCATACGAGAGCTCCATGTTGGCCCAGCAACCGAGGCCAGCTACCCCGAAGCACATAGAGCCACCCCCCGACACAAGCGAGGGATCTCAAGAGGAGTTGTCTTCATCAGATGATGAAGATGATGATGATGACACTCCTCTTACATCCCTCGACCCTATACACACATCAATTCCATCACCCATTCCCCGGGCAACCACATCCACTACCCCTGGCGATCAAGGCCAAAGAGGTATTGAACAAGGACCACCCAGTCCAAACCCAAACCAAGCCAGCCATCCAGAGGCCATTCTTTGGGCCTCCGGAGATGATCAAGTCGAGGAACCACACCATGCATCACCTCTCTCCTAATAGGGGGGTGATGAAGAAATAGGAGCCACTTTGCCTCATGGCTCGCCACTATGCTCTCACATAGAAGCATGTGTTGCTTCTGAATTTGAAATTCCCATCGATCGTTCAGAACGACCGTCCTTTCCTGTACAAGCCCCTTTGATACTTGATCTAGGAAAGGGGACACACATTTACATCCCTTCATCGGACTCTGAATCCGATGAAGAAGAAGTTCATGTAGCAACATCATGAGATAGTTCCTTGCTTGAGGGCTATCAAGGATGTGTTGGAAGTCCTCCCTTGCCTCATTTCACACAAGAGATCGATGGAGGCGCCTCTAGGACTGAGGTTCAACTTACAACATCTGTTGTTGTAGGGGTTACCCCACCAATAGCGGACTTGGTCACAAAGGCTGAGTTCCAAGCCTTTGCTGATTCAATTCAACGGTCCTTGGATGACCTTAAACTCAACTTGCCAGGGATTGCTGAATCCATTCCATCGATAGACCTTTCATCGATTCAACAATCACTTGCGTCCCTTGAGGCTAAATCGAGGGACAACACCACCCGCCTTCAAATATTTCAACAGTTGATGGTCCAACAACATAACTTCCTTTCCACCCTCTCATCCACCAGAAACCAGACCATCATTTCCACCCTTGCAACCCCAACGACCCAGATTTATGCGACCGATGAAGCCATGGCCTCCCTCACCAATCAAATAAACTCCCTAAACACTTCAATCGCCACCCCACCCACAACAAGCGTGCACCAACTCCCTCCTCCTAATAATGGAGAAAATTCGAAGAAGGAAGGCACTGAGGAAGTATCTTGCTTCTTTCAAGATGATGAAAAAGAGGAGCAGGGCCTCCTCCTCTATGAGCCGCCCCCTTAAGAGGCTGAGGCATGACGACCCAAACCAAGATGATCATGGTCTTGGTCCTCATGAGGGGGGAGAACTCGGCTCCAGCATCGATTGAAACTGCTGCACCACCACCTCCACCACCACAGATTCAACAAACCCAGCAAACCCAAGGAACCCAAGGAACTCAAGCAAGAGAACTAGGGGCTCGACCCTCTGAAGATGTACAAAATGTACATATTCCCTCTTCTTGCACCCAAGAACCTCTACCCACAACCAATGAGTTCTCACCAATTTTAGTGAGTTCTTCATCATCCGAAAACCCACCTTCACCTCAACAAGAAACAACCTTACCTTTAATCCCATCACCAACACCTCCTCCATCACCACCTCAACCAGAACCCTCCATTACCCCAACGAACCAACCACAACCTGAAGCCATACCTCCACCAGAATCTATCACCCAACCAACCCAACAGGTGCAAGCAGATGTCCCTTCCTCATCGAGGCAAGCTCCAACTCAAGGCAGAGCCGATGAAATCATCTCCAATTTTGAGTCGTTAAGGAGGCGTCCACCAATGCCTCGAAAGGAACCCGTCATGATGGAGAATATTCATCAATATCTCTACCATGACCGCGATGAACAGCTGCTCCTTAATCCTCCCAACCTATCTCCTGAGTCGATGGACCTGCTTCGTCATAGATTCGTGAGACATATGACATCTCCACCACAAATTCTCAAACGATGGAATCAAGACTGTCCTCGACATTAAGAGGAGAACCTTTGCCAATCGAGCTATCAAATATATCGAGTATACCGTGGAACGTGCACATGGGATAATCAGCGTCTTCAATGACAATGATCTAATAAATCTCAACCCATGGCACTTGATCGATCTCTATGGCCATACAGCTCAGCGACAGGACCAAGGGATAAGGTACGGGATGGCCAACAGAGTGATAGTAGAGACGATGGGAATCCTGGTCAAGTTCAGAGCAAAGTGTGACTTCCAAATCGCTCTTAAACTAGGTATTGAAAGACTCTCCTGCAAAACTCTGATTAAAGATTTTCCAGGCTTACAGGATAAGCGCTAAGCATCAGTCCTAGCTCAACCAGAACTCGGCTTGGTTTTCAAGAATGAGTATGGAGTTAAGAAATTCTTCAGACTGACTGAGGCCTTCAAGTATTCAACTAATACACTTGAATGGTTTCAGACAGTTATTTGAGAGAGGCTGGGCAGATCGCATGTGTCAATGAAGGAAGGACAAAAGCTCATCCATGGTATCTCCATATTAGTTCATTTCAGAGGACTAATGATGCATTTTGGAAAATATCAAGATGAGACCATGATTAAATTATTTCCATTATGTAATTTAATTTCTTTCATTTTTGTAAGAAATCATCCAACTCTTTAGTCCAATGAATTTTTTTGGCAAAAGGATGTTTTTCTAGACTAGCCTTTGTCTTTCATTATTCTTTCATTTGTTCATAGACTAGTCATTGTTTGTTTTTTCATTACTTAGGGGGAGATTGTTAGACCCCATCACTCGTACTTGTAAAAGTAATGAAAAACATACAAGTGTGAAAGAGCAGAAGGCCGATGGAAGGCTCACAAGGAAAAAGTCTAAGTGCCCTATACAACTAGAGATGCGATGAAGGTCCATAGGTGCGATAAACTGCGCATCTCCATAAACCCTCTGGTTACCAACACTTAGAATTTGCTACAACAGTTCAACCAGAGGTATTCATTCAAGAAGACCACAAGACTCATGGTTGCACACGTCCTCAAGAAGACAGCTGGAGATGGCAAATCAACAAATGGATTCTCATTTCCTTACTTAGCTTTATTTAATTTCCATATTTCTAGATTGCTTTCTTTCATAAAGAGATTTGCGATATATCTTTCATAGATAGCAATCTCCATATTTATATTAGTAGTATAAATAGGCCTTATCGTTTTTGTAATCGTTTATGCTTTCCAACCAATCATTTCAGTAATAGTGAATCATTTGACACTCAAATACATTCTTGTCACACCCCGCTAAAGCGGAAATACGGGGCGTAATAGGTAAGCATTTCATAGCCCATTCAATAGATAACACCAATAAATACGTAATCCATGAAAATTTACAATTCATCATTCTACTGTTCACGATGAAAATCAACATCATTTGCAAAAGAAGTTACAAGGCTTGTGAACAGGTGTTATCATAAAACGCTTCCAAAAACTTCCAATCTTACTTAATTTCCTAAAAAGCACGAAACATAAAATGACGTCAACTACAAAGAGTTGGTGAGTTCACGGGTTTTCATATGCACAAAAATATTCACATTGCATAAGTCATTACTTGCAAACTAATACATAACATGCACGATATAAATGTAAATTTTTCCATCGATGCTTAAAAACTTGAGACGCTACAGAGCCTTACCTGACCAATGTACCCCATTAGTCTACGAACTACAATAAGTTGCCCGTTCAGTCACTTAGGTACCGCGGTTCGTATCAGTACTACTTCAGCGGTGGCCCATTCACACACATCAGTAGACTATGAAAAACATAGGTAATGTGCACCCTTTTTTGGGTGGGACTGTCAACACAATAGCGGCTATCCACAATTACCACGGCCCGGGGACGTGCCCGAGTTAACTAGTAGCGTGTACGGATGGGGACTTTTTGAAATATCCTCTCAAGCACATCAATTTATCAATTATAGATAATGCATTAACAATCAATTTTTCATGATTTTCACAACTTTGACTAAACAGTTATTTAGTCCATTAGTTTTACAACTAAACAGTATAGTTTGCATTCTTTCATGCTTTTCCCCCAGTTAAAAATAAAAAAAGCAGTAAAAATGGGGTCGTGAAAACTCACAAGTTTGCAGATGAATATCCAAGATTTTGATGGCGATCAGAGCTCCAATGTCCACCCTACTTTCCTATTTAGCCCGAAATCCAATAGTTAGAGCACCTATCAGGTTTTACTAAAGATAAAGTGAGATTTATACCTTATGTAATGCCAATGAGTTTTTATAGATTAAAACTGATACCTTCCCAATAGTACAAAATTCATACATTTAAAGTTTAAAGCTTTTGCACCAAAAGTTAAAATTTGGACAGACATGCAATTTTCGATTTTTGGAATCTCGGTTTCACCAATCATTGTCAAAAGGAACCTTTCAAAAAAATCATTTTGGATATGCATGTACATCTCTACTTAACAACAACATTTTGCTCTGAAGTTTTACACTAAGCATTTAAATGCTCAAAAACTCAATATTTTTAGTGAATCTCAAAACAAATATACGACAGCTTAACCAGGTATATTCTAAAAGGAAAAACAGATTATTTGAGCTTTTAATTTTAGAAAATACAAACAGCAAATATGTTGACCAACAATCTGTTGGTTTCCAAAATATCATTTTTAATGATTAAATACTACATGCAATGCGATTTTCCCCATTTTCTTGAGTTCTAAGTTTGTAGATCATGGATTATCACCATTTTGGGAACATTTTCATATCTTGATGAATAATCTCCCATCTTAGACTCTACAGAAAATTTTGAGCTCAAAGAGGAGAATGAAGTATTAAGAAACGGGAAATATTATTGTAAAAGATTCAAAAATAATAAGACTAATCTTATTACCTTTTTGCTTGATTTTTCTTGAAGACTTGAATGTTCTTCAAGATTTAAAGAATCTAAGTAGATTTTAGAAATTGGATTCGGCTGTGTGGAAGTCGAGAGGTTTTAGTGAGAGAAAGAAAGTAAAATGAAAGTGTAATAGAATATTTTAAAAGAAGTGGGGTTTTTATATTAGAGTAAAGGGGCCGGCCCATTCAAGGCCCAACCACCTCATTTTCATTTTTATTTTCTTATAAAGCTACAGTCCAACTAAATGCTAGTTTAAATACATTTTTATCATTAATTGATAAAAATTATTCATTATTAATCAAAATTCCAAATATTGTAAAATTATTTGCATATTCCAATGAAACTTTTATATTTTAGAATTGGATTTTATAATATCAAATTTATTTATTTTAAGAGAATTTTTTTAAATATATTTGGTATTACATAAGTTACTTTATAAGTTACCCGTTGGGACAGGGTTTTCTGAACTATAATTTGGGAGCTAAGTCAATTGATTTCTAATCAACATGACTAGACCCTAATAAATTATAATCCTAAATATAATAACCCTTTAACGATGCTAACCTGACGCTCCGAAAATGACGGATGTCACAGTCTCCCCATGCCAGAAAAATTTCGTCCCGAAATTTGATTCATCAATTCTTAGCTTTGGACCTGTTTGTGAATAAGTGAGGATACTTGTTTTTCATAAAATACTCTCTTTCTCATGTGTACTCCGGTCCATGCCTCGAGATCCAATGAACTTTTACAATCAGAATCTTATTACGCCTCAACTGCTTGACTTCTCTACCCATGATTTCTGTCAGTTTTTCAACGAAGTGTAGATGATCATTAATTTGAACCTCTTCCAATGGTAGAACCAGTGTTTCATCGGTTAAACACTTTTTGAGATTTGATACATGAAATGTATCATGAATGGTGCTTAACTCCTATGGCAAATTTACCTTATATGCCACTGGTCAAACTCTTTCAGTTATTTCAAATGAACCAATATATCGGGGACCCAATTTGCCTTTTTTCCCAAAACGCATTATTTCTTTCTAATGTGAGACTTTTAAGGGTACTTTATCTCCCTTTTGGAATTCCAATGGTCTCCTCCGATTATCAGCATAATTTTTCTGACGATCTCTTGCAGCATTGAGTCGATCCTTAATAATTACAATCTTGTTAGTAGTTTCCTGAACTACATCAGGTCTTGTTAATTGCTGATCTCCGATTTCTAACCAACTGAGTGGGGATATGCACTTACCCCCATATAATGCTTCATAAGGTGCACACTGAATACCGGCATGATAGCTGTTATTGTATGCAAATTCAACTAACGGAAGGTGCGTATCCCAACTTCCACCAAAATCTATGGCGCACGCACGCAACATGTCTTCCAATGTCTGGATGGTTCTTTCCGTCTACCCATCCGTTTGAGGGTGGTATGAAGTACTTAAGTCTAGACGTGTACCCAACCCTTCTTGAAGTGATTGCCAAAATCTTGACGTAAATCGACTGTCTCTATCCGATATGATGGAAAGAGGTACCCCATGCCGGGTGATGATTTCATTTATGTAAATTTGTGCCAGCTTCTCCATCTTATAATCTTATCGGATTGGTAGGAAATGAGCAGATTTTATATGTCGATCTATGATTACCCAGATTGCATCATGCCTTTTCCCAGTCCTGGGCAACTTAGTTATGAAGTCCATTGATATTTGTTCCCATTTCCATTGGGGAATCTCAGGTTGCTGGAGTAGGCCGGATGGTTTTTGGTGTTCAGCCTTGCCCATTGCACAAGTTAAACACTTATTCACATACAAGGCAATGTCTTTCTTCATTCCAGGCCACCAATAGTGTTCCCTCAATTCCTTATACATCTTATCTGCTCCTGGGTGAATTGAATATTTTGATCGATGGGCTTCGTTCAGAATTATAGATCTAAGATTGCCAATCTTAGGAATCCAAACCCTATTTCCCAAGTAATTTACTCCATCGGACTTCAGTTGAAACTTAGTTTCCATGTGGTGTAGGGTCTTATTTTTTAAATTCTCTTCCTTCAATGCCTCTTTTTGATCTTCGAGAATCTGTGCTTTCAAACTCGTGGTTACTACTGCTCCCAAAGCTCGC